CTCAAGAGTGTCGGGGCGCTCCTGGTAAAGCCCCAGCGCCCGACGGCCGCCAAGATAGTCTCGGCGCTGCCGAAATGCAACCGGGTGCTGAGCTGCTGCCACCCATAGCGGAGGACCTCTGTCCGCTCCGCAGGGGCCATGTCGTGACCCCAGGAGCGGACGTACGCCACGGTGGCGTCTCCCGGGCGGCCTCCTGTTTCGAAGATGACCGGGATGATCTGGCCCCCCTCGGGCGGGTAGCGCTCCCGCTTGGCGTCTTCCGCGTTGGTGGCGGCGAGGCCGTCCTTGTTCGAGCGAGCCTGCTGGCGCGGCGCGGTGCCGCCGTGCGCGCAGGTCACGCTCGTGTCCAAGAACACTGTCTGGCCGGTCACCGCGTCGCGGGTGGCGACGTCGAGCCGCGCCTCTTCGAGGCGCCCTGTCCGCGGGTTCGCCCTGTCCCAAGCAACAACTCGTTGTTCCGTTTGCGCTGCGTGTCCCGTGGTCCGCTGGTGGTAGCTGGCGCAGAAGTCCCAGAGGCCGTTGTGTTTGTTGTTGCGGTAGGGGCCGCACGGGCACTTCAGGGCGTGGCGGCCGCGTCGGTCGAGTGCCTCCCCGCACAGCGTTCCGTCGGCCTTGCGGAGCTTGCAGGTCGCGCCCGGCGGGCACACAGGCAGGCGCAGCTTGTCCTTGAGGGCGATGCGGAAGTGTTCGTCTGGCATTCTAGCGGGCGTCTTTCCCTCGCGGACGACGGGCGGATCCAAGTACCCTCTTGCGCCGGGGCCGCCTGACGAGCGGAAGTCCACCCTGTCGTCTGTCCCCAGAGAGGCCAGCAGCCGCTCGCGTGCCTTGCTGCGGAGGTCGCCCGCCCACTTACCTTGCATCCCCTGGAGTGGTTCGCCCATGCAGCCGGTCCAGTCGATCGCCTCGAGAGACCCCCCGCTCTGCGCCTGGAGCCGAGTCTCCGCCCTCGCTATGGCCTCGGCCACAAGGGGGCAGCGCTCCTTGAACAGCGCCCAGGAGGGCTCGTCCAGGCAGGCGCCCACGCTGAAGAGGGTGAGCGCCCAGCTTCCCAGATAGGCGGCGGCCGCCGCCTGCGCGGCCGAGGCGAGCCCAAGGCCCCCGTCGGCGAACCGGAGGAAGCATTGCGCCCACTGGTCTTCGTCGAGGGCGTCGCCCAGGAAGTCCTCCACAAACTGTATGAAGGTTCTGTCGAGCCTGGTAAGCCAGTCCCCGTCCTCGTAGTTTGCACGGAGCAGGTGCGTGACGCAACCGTTACTGTAGGTTTGGAGCAGCCAGAAGCATTCCCTCGCCCCGAGTCCGGCACCCCGCAGTTCCTGGAGTCGGGTGATCAGTCGCTCGGCGGCCCGCACTGCCTCGTCGCCGTCAGCCTGCCCGTGAACAGCGAGCCGCCCCAGCGGGTCGTCCGGCTCCACCCAGGGCGTGGTGGCCCCCAGGCAGCGGAGAGTTGGCACCCGCAGCGCGTCGAGCAGGGGCGAAAGTGGCGTCGTTGGGTCGCGGGTCCACGCCGCGGTTTTGCCCTCGTTGATGGGGAGTCCTGCTCGCGTGAGTTCCTCGACCACTGTGCGCCGCTGCCTCCCCAAGCGTCGTAGGAACCACCACCACCACATCATCTAAGCAGGAGGGCGCCCGAGCAGTCGGCGCCGCGGCCCGCAAGCGAGCGTCGATGTTGGATAACGCCTCCGCCAGCCCCAAGGCGAAGTAGGCGGGCGAGAGCGGGCAGCCCTGGTCGACCCCTTTCGTGGCTGGCACTGCTTGGGCCGAGCCACTCGCCCCCCACCACAGGTGCGTGGTGCCTCCTCGAGATCCTCCTCCTCGAGATCCTCCTCCTCCTCCTCCTCCTCCTCCTCCATTTCCTCCTCCTCCTCCTCCTCCTCCCCCTTCTCTTCCTCCTCCTCCTCCTCCTCCTCCTCCTCCTCCTCCTCCACCTCACGCGAACAAGAAAACGGGAGAGGGGATGGGGAGCTGACCAGCACCAGCCAAGCCGCCTTCGGCAGCCGCAGGCCCCGGGCCGTGGTCTCTTGGCTGGGCACCGGCACCCGCCAGGTGCTGGCGGGCCACGTGCGCGCCACGAAGGCTTAAGCCGGGCGTGTCCCTCTACAGGAGGAATGTTCAAGAATAGCCCAGAAATTGCCAGGGGTCCATTGTGTGGACTATATCCAATGTTTTTGCGTATGTTTTGTTTCTTGTCGTTTGTCGTCCAAGATCCACCTTTAGGGGGACGGGCCCGACTCAAAGCCAGGCTGGACCTGCAGAGGCCCGATCCAGGCTTAAGTCGGGCACGTCCCTCTACAGGAGGGACATTCAAAGACAGTCCAAACGTAGTATGTGGACAATTGTTTTGACTCTTTTTGACCTGTTTGGTTTATTTTGTGGACTATTTTCAATATGTCCTCCAAGCTCCGCCACTAGGAGGACATGCCCGACCTAGATCCAGGCATGTCTCAAAGCGGTGCGGCCTGGGTCGACAGGCGCATACCAGGGGGAGGCAGGCGTGTCCAGGGGGGGGGTCCATCAGGCCATCGCAAACATGGATCCAGGGGGGCGTGGATTCACGACTGGTCCCGTTTCCACGGGAAATCGAGGACTACCGCCGCCGAACGAGGCGGCACCGGCCGCATTTTGGGGAGGGCACCTCCCCCGATCCATGAATTTGGCGACCGCGCGCCGAATCCATGGAGCGCGAATCCATGTTTGCACGCCCCCGAGGGGAGGCTTGTCCAGGGGGTTGTCCGGTGGGGCAGTCCTGATCCCCGCTGGGTTGTCCAAAGGTCGTTGTGTCCTCCATCTGTATGGGTTATCCGAGGGGGGGTCCACAGATTTTTCTGATTGAATTATTGCTCCGTTGAACATGGTCTGGTGTTCTGACGTTTTCGCCGGTTTTTATGGATGTTCTTCCCTTGGGATGCGTTCCAGCAGTTGCGCCTCAGCGAGAGCGTTTTGGGTGTACCCAGCGCATTCCGAACGGCCACATGAGGTCCGAGTTGTGATCTGAAAACCAATCATTCGGGGTGAGCGTGCGGTTTTGGGACATGGTTCGATATCCGAGGATGTCTCGGGCGATTGGGGCCTACAAGACGTCAAAACTATGTGGTGACGGACCGTGCGGAAGGTCTTATGGTGATCCGGGGTCACCATACGGTCTGTCACCACACCGTTTTGGGACCCCCAAGCCTACGAATGATCTTCAAGTATTTCCAGAGCATTCTGCTCTCAGAGCGTTCCGGAACGCTCCAGATCGGTCGCAGAGCTGGACACGCCGTTCAGATCTGCCGGTTCTGAGATATTACCGCATTGTGATCTCGGCCCGGTGTTGTCTCAGTGAATCGCTTCGCTCATTCTGCCGGCCCGTATTTATGCCATCGCAGGCGTCTGCCTGCGCGTTCGTGGCCTTTCTGGGCCTCTTGGGAGCCGTTTGGTTCGGGGGCGGAAAAGGGGGGGGTGATGACTAGGGGGGGGTGGATATCATGGCGTGGGCCATGATATTTCCCCAGATTTTATGGCGCCTCTTCTTATTTCATTACGTCCCTGGCCCCCCCGCTGGGCCGCGCACATGCCGCCGGTCATGATTTGCACCCCCCCCTCTTGGACACCCCCCTCTTGGCCGCTCCCGATTGGTAGCCTATTGTAGGGGCTTCGTGTTGGACCTTCTGGGGGCCTCGCGGGGCCAGGCCTCCCGGGGGCCTCTTGGGGCCTCCTGGGGGGGCCTCGTGGAGCGGAAGGGCTGAACCGGTGGTTCGCGTTTCCCCTCTTGGGGCCGTCTCGGGGCCGTCTTGGGCGACCTTGGGCACATCAGGGGCCATTTTAGGGCCCTCCTGGACGGTCCTGGGGGCCTCTGGGGCCAGCTTGGAGCGTCGGACGCCCGACATCGCGAGAACGCGAAGACATACGGAAAAAGCAGATGGGAAATCAATAGTTGTTGCTTCGTTTGGCCCTCTTTGGGGTCCTCCTGGAGCGCTCTTGGCGCTTCTTTGGGGCCTCTTGGGCCGTCTTGGGGACATCTTGGGCGTCTTGGAGCGCTCTTTGGCAGTGATTCCGATCCGTGGGCCCTTTTGGAGCTGCCTTGACGTTCCTTGGGCCGCTCCTGGGGCGATCTGGAGAGCCCCGAAAATCGCTCCTGGGAGCAGAACCGCCCCCGGGAGCAAACCATCTATGATCCGAGTCTGCCAGGACCTTGGCTGGGGGTCCTGGGGGGTACTTGTCGTCCAGGGCTCCCAGGGGCGGCCCCGCGCGGGCGGGAACTCGTATATGTACATATATACACATTTACTTAAACTTAGATGTATGTGTGCTTATCTATATATTTATACACATGTACATATATGTACATGTGTGTATGTCTATATATATGTATATATGTATATATCTCTATATATTCGGTTACCGGAGATCTTAGCACGCCTCTGGCCCGTTGGGCTGGCGAATTATCGCCGTCGTCTTGATATCGGTAGTGGAGACATCTATGTGCGCTCAGCATGTGCATGGATATTTGGTGCGCCCGTCGGGTTCATAGGTGGATACGTGGCCTGCGAGTCGGCTTGAAAGGTTGACCTCGAACGCGCGGCGGATTGGCGTCCAGAATGGCGAATTACGCGCCCTTCCTAACCATGAACCCGGTGGACCACCAATTCTCGGACGAGGCAAGGACGAGGATTAAATCCGTTTCAGAGCGTTCGGGAACGCTTTCAGAGCGTTCCAGGAGGCTCCGAGAAGGCCGCGGCGCCCGAGACGTTTTTCAGAGTCGCCAGATCGCAGAGATTCTCGACTTGTCTTCACCCGAGTTTCTCTTCGACCTGGCGTCGTCTTAAATTCACGCAAGTCCCCCTAACCCAAGCATGAAGCAGTCAGGAGCGAAAGAAGGACGTACATGTACATGAATCCACGCCGGTTTCGAGAGCACGCATTGGACAAATGTTCGTATCACGCGGCCGGTCTCGCGAATCGAGGGGCCGTGTTCATGTACATAGCTGGGCGCGTACGTCCTTCGTGGGCTCCCTAAGCAGGAGGGCTTCAAGATCCGCGTCCTGACGCGCTCCGCGGCCCGCTTCGCCGAGCTGCACCGGAGAGCCGGCGCCGACGGCGCCCGGCTGCGCCAGATCGAGCGCTACGAGGAGGGGGCGGACTGCCGCGTGTGGGTGCTCGGCACCATGACGACCCGCCCGCTCGGATGTCTCGTGCCAGCAGGCACCTCCTACTAGGGCGACGAGATCTATGCATATCCACTGCTCCTGGCCAGGCCCATCCTGGGCCCAGGAGCTGTGTATATGCCTCCCTGGCCAGGCCAGGAGGGCGTATACACCGCCCCTGGGCCCAGGATTGGCCTGGCCAGGAGCAGTGGATATGCATAGATCTCGTCGCCCTATCCTACCTTTCAGTCGGGCCTGTCCCTCTACAGGGAAAAGATTCCCAAAGAGTCAAAAAATTAGTCCGGGGACGATGTTGCCATGATTTTTCTACTGCATTTGAGCATGTTTAGATGTATGGTTTTTGTTTGAATTTCTGCTGGTCCAGATCTGCCTGTATGGGGACATGTTCGACCTAATCCTACCTCTCGAGCGACAAAAGGGACATGGACGAGATTTCGGAGCTCCGCGCGCATCTCTTGGGTCGGCGCCTGGAACCCCCTGGCGCACGGCGCGCGCCAGGGAGGGGGTCCCGGCGCCGATCTAAGAGATCCGCGCGACACTCCGACAGTGCACTCCGGGTTTCTTGATAAGCGTGGGGGGGTACCCCCCCGACGGGGGTCAACCTCGCCGCGTCGTCGCGCCGCGACGGGGGCCGGAGCGCCTTCGGCGCGCGGTGGCTGCCCGCGACGGGGGTCGATGTGGGGCTGTCGGCGGGGGTGACGCCCCCCCGATGCTCAGGAAGAAACTCGGAGTACTTTTTCGTATGTGTTTGTTTTCCATCGAGCCTCCTGCTTCGCTTCCCCTCTTGGCGTGTCGGTCGGTCCAGTCTCGGCCTTCCGGGCCCCCGCCCGCTCGATGCCCTGCGCGCTGCGGTCGGTCCCTCGATCGGTGCCGCCTGTCTCCTAAGAGAGCTGAGGCTAGACGTAGTCGGGCCTGTCCCTCTATAGGAGGAATATTCAAAAATAGTCAGAGGATTATTTTTTGTACGTTTGGGTATGTTTATCAGTTGAGCGGAAGATCGGGACAAATCGGAACCAGAGATTCTGGGAGAGTTCCAAAGAAAAATAGAACGCCGAGTTGTGGAGCGCAGCGCGCGCATTCGCAGAAGTTCCCCAAGGACTTTTCGAGGGCTTGAGGAGCCCAAGTAACGCATGGGCGCTCAATTAAACTGTTGAGGGCGGGCAGAAAAGCTGGTGTGCACGAGCATTGGGAGCGGGTGCGCGGCTTGCACGGGGGGCGCAGTAGGTTTGCGTTTCAGGGGCTTGGGCGCTGGACGATGCGTTGATGGGGGGCCCGAGAGTGCGTCACACATATTACGCCTGTGGCGCCATGGAGGCCGCATGTGCGGTTGCAGTGGGGCGGGCGCCCCGCCGCGCGCACCGTCGCGACAGCTCTCTTGGGCGCCCGCCAGCCGCCGTGGACGTAGTGGGCCCAGCTCGTCTCGCGGTCGGCGCGCGGCGGGTCGGCGGCCACGACGCTGGCGGCCTGAAAATGCTTCGAAAGTGTTTCTCCCCGAGCCCGGGGCTATTGCACGTTTTCGGTGGCACGCGCAGCTCGGAAAAGAATCGCCTTGTCTGTCGGCGGCCAGTTGGCTGTCGTCGCGCAGAAGTACCGGCGGATGGCGCGGTCCACGCCCAGCGCAGAGAGCGTGTCCATGAGCGTGGACTCGTCGAGGGGCAGGAGGAAGGACCTCGTGGTCGGGACCATCGCGGCCTGCGATGTCCACGGCCCCCACCCTCGGCGCGTGAGGACCTGCTGGGCGCCGCCGCAGGTCGATTTCAGAGAATCTCGGAACGGGAAATCCGGGCGCGCCAAATTTCGCGGGCCGAAAAACTCTCATAGAGTTTCGGCCAGCTCCGAGGTTTTGGGTTTATGGGAATGTTTCACGCGGGGTGTCTAGTTCAGAGATGTTCAGAGATTCTCAGCGAAGGTCGGACGCGAGAGTTTGGCGCGCCCCGTTTTCTGGTTCTGTGAATCTCTGAAGAGCGGTTTCTCAGGTTTTACCAGATCTCCAGGCGTCCCACTGTCAGCCAGAGACGAGCGACTGGCTGGCGCCGCGCCCGATGCTTCCGGAGTCGCGAACTCGGTCCTCGATTCCGTGGGGCCCGCGGGCCCCTGGGCCAATCGCGAGGTTGCCGAAGCCCCCGGGCGGTTGCGCGCGATTGTCTCCGAAACCGGAATTGGGCATCCATGGTGGACGCCCGCGCGTGGGCGCTAGGTGTCCGCCAGATTATTCGGTGGCGGATATTGCATGGTGCGGGGGCCCTCCGAAGACTTTCCGGGGTTTTCTTTACGGTTATTTCGGCGCGCTTCGGGAACCTTGGGGCGGCGCGGGGAAGTCGCCAGGCCGCGCGCGGGCTCTTTTTCCAATGCCTTCTCGGGCATTCTCGCGGTGTTGCGTGGCCGAAAAGGTCACTGAGTACTGCGCTTTTTGACATTTGCACGTTTTTTTCGTTTCGTTGGTTGCGTGATTGTTTTGGCGGTCCGCCTCTTTGGGGCCCCCTTGGGGCCTCAAGTTTGTTTTGCTGACGTCGGGCTTTCTGGAGTGAAAGGCGCTTGGCGCTGAATTCCCTCGGGCGCGCGCGTGGCCAAATACGCGCCGTGGCCCCATCTGCGCCGGGGCGCATTCCTTCCCTCGCGAAGCCGATGGCGCCCAAGGCGCGGCAGGCCCGTTCGGCGGCGCCCCCGGTGATTTGAAAATCCGAGCATGATTTTTATCCCGGTCAAACTTTGCCCCGATCCCGGCTTCGTCTTAGTTTAGGGTATTTTCAACTGTTCGTCCAAAATCCGTTTGTAGGTGGACACGCCCAACCGAAGGCTAGACGTCAACCCGCGTGCCTGTTTCTGACTCCTCCTCCTCCCTAGAAGTGGAGGGTTTCCCCGAAGGGCTTTGGCGACCCGTCCTCCTCCTCCTCCTCCCCCTCCTCGTCCTCCTCCTCCTCCTCCTCCTCCTCCTCCTCCTTCTCCCCCTCCTCCTCCTCCCCCTCCTCCTCTCCTCCTCCTCCTCATCCTCCTTCTCCTTCTCCATTCTCCTCCTCCTTTTCCCTCCTCCTCCCCCTCCTCCTCCTCCTCCTCCTCCTCCTCCTCCTCCTCCTCCTCCTCCTCCTCCTCCTCCTCCCCTCCTCCTCCTCCTCCTCCTCCTCCTCTCCTCTCTCCTCCTCCTCCTCCTCCTCCTCCTCCTCCTCCTCCTCCTCCTCCTCGGGTCGCCCACGGCCCTGGGGAAACCGTGCGCCTCGGAGGCACCACGTTCTACGAGTTCGGTGTGCCGATCTCGAACCCAGAGTTCCTGAGGCCGCACCGCGTGGTGAGCGTCGCCAGCCTGCGAGTGAACCGGCAGGCTTCTGGCGGCGTCCACAAGGGTGGGGGTGGCACGAGGGGATGGCCCTTCTTCACCGAGCGCGTTCCACTACTCGCAAAGTGCCTACTCGCAAACGTCTGAAAACACAGTCTGATTTTGATGTCGTTTGTCGTAGATCCCCCGCGGGGGATCCAGGCCATTGGCGAGCAGTCACTTTGCGAGTAGAGGAACGCGCTAGTCTACTTCTGATAAGCCAGGGGGGGGTCCTGGAAGGCCGAGTAGTTTTTCACCCTTAGGAGGGGCGCGCAAACGACACCCCCGCTCCCCCAAAGGCTCCTTGTCACTGTCCAGGCGAGCGGCGTCGCGTCTCCGGAGCTCCTTGGGAGGGCTTGCAGCCTGTCCCGGGGACGGGGTCGAGGCCCTTAGGGGTCCACGCCGTGGAAAAGCTAGCAACGCCAGGGGCCCTGGGCCGCTTCCCCCCGCCTCTTCTCGGACGGGGCTAGGACGAGGATTAGATCCAGTCCAGAGCGTTCCGGAACGCTCTCAGCTCCGGGAAGGCCGCGGCGCCCGATACATCCCCCAGAGCCGCCGGATCTCAGAAATTCTCAATTCATCCGTATCCGATTTTATCCTCGTCCTACCTTCGCATTGAGGGGTTAGTAGGCAGGGGCCTCGTCAGAAGGCCTCACGGCGTCGAGGCCTCTTGGATGAGGAGGGACAAAAACACAGACACAATTGCTCGTCGATCCCCAGAAAACGGGAAAGTATGGGAAGCGAGGGGGCAGACGAAAGCCTAGAGAATATGGGAAGTATGGGGGATCGTGGGATTTGTGTCTATTTATTGGTGTGTCCCCGAGGTGCAGGAGGAGGAGGAGGAGGAGGAGGAGGAGGAGGAGGAGGAGAAGGAGGGGGCGTGGGAGACTGGGCGAAGGGTGCAGGTTGAGACCCAGGTTCCCCCTCGCCTGCCCGAGTCCGCGGCCGTTCCTGTACAGTGGGGGCCCATGCCAAGAAACACCTTGCTTGCCTCCAGGGTACCCCGGGCTTCTTTGGTTTCGACGGTTTCGCGACGGAAGGCGCGACGCTCCCACACCAAACATCGACGGACGTCCTGGGGTCTCAGGGCTGGGTTTCATGTGGAAGGTTTCTTGTTTAATTTCTGGCCTCCAGTGTACGGCGGGTTCGTGTCCTGTCGACCGGCGCCGACCCCGCCGCCGGCGTTCAACGTTGAACGTCGCCAGCGACCCCAAATCGGTCGATGTTGAACGATCTGACGTTTCGGGAACGGCCGACCCTTCAAGGTTGAACGATCCAGGCGGTGTCAGAAACTGACGCCAGGGTCGGCCCGACGCGAACCCACTGTAGGGGATCGACTGCAGAATTTGATTTACCCCAGAATGGATTTTCCCGTCGAATCTGCGGACAAGATAATTTGAATTCTCAGTAGGTTCGCGAATTCTCGGTATATGCGCGAACATGTGACGTCATCGTCCTAGATTCGAGAGGGGAAAATCAAGTGTCGATCCCCTACTCGAATCCTGGACCAACGAGCAACGAAAGAACACGCGCGAAACCGAACAATGCACGGGCAGTGGACGTGCGAGCGATGGCAAGTCCCCTCTTCGCGCCGCCGAGGTCTGCGACCTCACCTTCTGCCACGACCACAGCTCCGAGCAGATGCCCTCCTGCCTGGCGGCGATCGCCGTGGGGGCAAATTGGCCCCGAGGGAAGCGGGCCCTGAGATTCAGGCGATCGCAGACATGGATTCAGGGGGCGCGGACTAGCGACACGGGTCCCGCTTCCGTGGGGCAGCGCGGAGTCCCGCCGCCGAGCGAGGCGGCACCGGCCGCATTTTGGGGAGGGCGCCTCCCCCGACCCATGGATTTGGCGACCGCGCGCCGCATTCGTGCATCGCCGATCCATGCAAGAGGAAGAGGAAGGGACGAAAGAGGAGGAGGAGGAGGAGGAGGAGGAGGAGGAGAAGGAGAAGGAGAAGGAGGGGGGAGGGAGGAGGAGGAGGAGGAGGAGGAGGAGGAGGAGGAGGAGGAGGAGGCAGGGTCCAGGACCCCGGGGCGCCCTCGAGGGCGCGACGAGCCTCTTCGTGCTTCGCGCCCGGTGCCGGTCCTTCTCCTCCTCCATCCTCCTCCTCCCTCCTCCTCCTCCTCCTCCTCCTCCTCCTCCTCCTCCTCCCCCTCCCCCTCCCCCTCCTCCTCCTCCTCCTCCTCCTCCTCCTCACGCTCCTCCTCCGCCTCCTCCTCCTCCGCCTCCTCCTCCTCCGAGGGCGGCGCGAGAGCGCGAAGTTCTACGCGCGGCGCGAGGGCGCGAAGTCCGGCGCCCGCGGGGCCCGCTTCCCCTGGGGCCCTTCCCCCCAAGCGTTCTGGACACCGCTGCCTGGCGACGGCTCCATCTTTGGCGTGTGCGACCTCGCTGCGGGCTGGAGCCAGCAGCCCCACTCCAGTTCCGATGGATCTCTATCACATGCTGTGGGATTTGACTGTGAGATCTTCGGTCGAGTTGGAAACTGAGCGGCCTTGGGGCCTGTGAGCGCCTCGAGGGACCCTTCCCCCATGCTGAGGCGACCATCATCCACGGCCTCGAGGGCCACACGGAGCACGAGGCGAGCAGCGAGCCCTCCCCGCCACCTTCCCCTCCCGCTCTCTCGGTGGATGGGCAGGGCTCGTTGCGATTCCCCTCCGCCTCGATTCGCTTTCGATGTCGACGGCTTCCGATTACGATCTCGCTTCGACTTCCGGCTCCGATTTGGTTGCCGACTTCTCGTTGGGGCTTTGCAGGGAATGGGTGGGGGGTGGGGGGCAGGGCTCGTTCCGATTCCCCTGCGACTCGATTTGATTTCGATGTCGATGGCTTCCGATTCCGATTCCGCTTCGACCTCGGATTCCGGTCTGGGTGCCGAGTTCTCTCGTTAGAGGCATTGCTGCTCTGCCGATGTCAGCCGATTCGACTCCTCCCGACCTGGCTGCCGGTTTCCGCCGATCCTTGGTATCGTTCGGACGTGTGCATTTGTCTCGGCAAACGGATCATCGAGGAGCATGTTGGGTCATCTTGTGGAACAAAGCACGCACGGAGCCGAACAAGGCACAGGGGATTGGACGTCAGATCCGATTCGCGCCGATCGCCGACCGATTCAAGTCTGGGTTCTCCTGGGGGGGGGAACAGGGGAAGGCGGAGCTGCGAAGTCTTCTGCACGCAGGTGGTCTCGGTCCCGCCGCCAGGCGCGATCCTCGATGCCTCGGCGGCGGAAGTCGCCTGGAGAGGCCAGTTGCGTGAGCTGATCCGCCCCCTCACTAAACTCCCCCTTTCATCCGACGCGACGCTCGCTCCTCCTCCTCCTCCTCCTCCTCCTCCTCCTCCTCCTCCTCTCACTCCTTGTCAACCCCCCTCTTTTCACTCCTCGTTGTCCTCCTCATCCTCATCCTCCCTCCTCCTCCTTCCGTAGCCATTTTGGCTCAAGCCATTTTGGCTCAAGTTCGAGTCGCTCCCTGGCGCTTCGAGCCTGGACGCAGCCGAGGGGAAGGCGCAGCGTCCGATTTTTGGGGGGGAGTCCCCGATCGTCCCCGCGCCCTGTTCTCCATTCCTACGTCACCCAGATCCTCGGCACCTTTCCAGGGCTGGGTAGACTGAGACGCGTCCAGTTCCTAGATCTGGCAGTGTGGATGTCCTCACCAACGGCTTCAGGCAGCGAGTCCCTCCAGGATATCATCCAGAATGCCATGTCCAATGCCACATCCTTCATTATGGCCCAGCTGGAAGCACGGTTGTGCATGGTCGGCACAAACATGGTTTCGCTTGCTGCTAGTGTCTCTGCCACCCAGACCTCCATGTATTGCATCTCCGAGCAGCTTAAGACCATGCAGTTGAGGATGGACGCGCAGGAGGCAGCCGTTCAGAGCATTCATGCCTCACCACCATCATCGGCTACTGGATCAACAGGCTCTTTCGCCACCAGAGTCTCCATGGGCGACCACAAGCGTAGAAGAGGGCACGATGCAGTCAATGGTGGAGATCCGTGCGTCAAGTATGTTGGCACATTTCCTCATCCTACAGCTGCGCGCGAACGAGAGCGTCACTGCGCTAGTGTTGTCGCCAATTTCCCGCAGTCCTTCCATGACGCAGTCGAGACCAAGCTCCATGGAGTTTTTCGCGGACCTCGGCAGGCGGAGGATCTGGGTATATAGTCGGGCCCCTGGGGGCCAAAACATATGTCCATGTCCACCGCCCGCTGGGGCACCAGGACGTCGGTTCCCAAGCGGTGAACATGGATATTCCAAATCCCTTGTTAATCGTCCCCCAGGTCCGGTTTTTAAGGCGCCTTTTTTGTAATTGGGGGGGTTCGGTTTATTAGGGCTTTTTCTTTGGATTGGAGCTCAGGGGGTCCAGTTTATCAAGGAGCCCCGTCGAAGAGGGGGGTCCGGAATGTTAGGTCGCATTTGGAAGGGATCCGGCTTTTTAGGGGGGGGTCGACTAAGAAGGGATTTGGAGTAAGTCCCCGCCTCGCACGGCTGCTCCTGCGTGTGCAGCTGCACTTCCCCGCAGCGCCGCTCTCCTGGAAATGTCTGGCTGCTCCCACGGGTGGCCAGCAGTGTCCCCGAGCGCCCGGCTGTCTCTCGACCGCTCGGGGCGCCCTCCTTGGTGTCCAGCGCCGGAGCACGCCGCCTGGTGATGGCGATGGTGATGATGATTTCGAGTATGATTGTGATGATGCTGATAATGATGCTGATAATGGTGATGATGAAGAGAAGGAGGAGGAGGAGGAGGGGGAGGAGGAGGAGGAGGAGGAGGAGGAGGAGGTGGGGGAGGAGGAGGAGGAGGATGATGAGGAATATGATGAGAAGGACGAGGATGAGCATGATGATGAAGAGGATGAGGATGAGGAGGATGCTGGTGATGATGATGCTGATAATGATGAGGATGAGGAGGATGCTGTTGTTGTTGTTGATCATGATGGTGGTTGTGATGGTGATGGTGATGCTGATGATGATGATGATGATGATGATGATGATGATGATGCAGCTGATGCTGACTCTGGTGATGCTAACGGCGATTCTATGATGATGCTGATGCTGATGATGATTTTGTTGATGATGCCGCTGATGATAATAATTCGCGTGCTGCTGCTGATGCTGATGCGTCGGCTGCTGTTGATGATGATGGTGATGGTGATGATGATGATGATGATGATGATGATGATGACGCTGATGATGATGATGGTGATGCAGATGATGCAGAGTATGGTGATGGTAATGGTCATGACGATGATGATAATGATGATTATCATGAGGATGAGGATGAGCATGAGCATGAGGATGAGCATGTGGATGATGATGATTATGATGATGATGATGATGATGATGATGATGATGATGATGATGATGCGATTGCTGCTGCTGACAATGCTTCGGTTGATGTCGATTATGGTGGTGATGTTGGTGAGGATCAACATCATTATCATCATAATAATAATCATCATCATCATCATCATCATCAGCATCATCATCATCATTGTCATCGTCATCGTCATCATCACCATCATCATCATCATCATCATCATCATCATGGGGTGCAGGAGGAGGAGGAGGAGAAGGAGAAGGAGGACCCCGCCAGGGCTCAGGTCCCACTGGTCCTCCTCCAGCCAGTCCTTCTCTCTCCTTTGCCCTGGCTCCCCTACTTCTTCTTTCATCATTCTCCCTCCTCCCTCCCTCCCTCTCTTATCTGCGCAAAACGGTGCGCAAGACTGCGCGCAAAGTGTTGCAATGCCGGAATCCGACCGACCCTCCTCTCCGCTCCTTTCCTTTTCTCTTCCTCATTTCCCGTCATCGGCCTCATCCACCTCGTCATCACCTCCAATTTCGTTCGCGTCAGAATTTCTCCCCTCCCTGCTCCTCACAATCAGCATCAGCATGATATCCGTCGTCTTTCTCCCCATGCCCCTCCTCTGAATCCAATTCGGCCAGTCGTCTTCCTCCTCTCCGTCCTGTTCATCCTCTTTCCCGTCCCCCGCTCTTCGTCCTTCTCCGCCTCCTCCGCATGATCTGCCTCCGCCTCCTTCCTCATTTGCTGTCTCCCCAGAACCTGCCGCCGTCTCCTTCTCGTCGTCCTCATCGTTATATATCCTCCATGCAGTCAAGATGCTGAGAGAAGGACCACTTTGAGCCCAGGTTTGGCTCCAATTGTCGGGCCGTTCGTCAGACTCAGGTCGTGGGACCTTCTCGTGGCCGAGGCTCTCCGTGGTCAACGTCAGCACGATTTCTGTAGCACGATGGTCGCACAGAACAATGCTCGCCGTATTCAGCGTTCCTTATGCTAGCACGATGGTTGTATCATCCCCGTTCACCTCCCACCCGCCTGTCTCCAGAGAGCGTCGGGCGAGGCTAGGACGAGGATAAATCCGTTCCAGAGCGTTCCAGAACGGTCTGAGATGGCCGCGGCGCCCGAGACATCCTCGAGAGCCACCAGATCTCAGAGATTTTCGATTCATTGGCTGACGCCGCTCCGCCGACCCCTTGGGGCGGCAGTAAGAGTGAAAACCAGAGTTTGCGGAACGCGCGCGATTTCTTGGGAGTCTTGGGGTTTCAGCTTCTTGGGATTTCGTCGGGGGCGGTTGGCGGATCGCGGCTCTGCTCTTGGGCTTCTCTGGGCTCTGGCAGCATTTTTGAAGCCTTTGGGGAGCCGTGTTGAGGCATCTAGGGGCCTGTTTGGGGCCTTTCGGGGGCCTGGTGGGAGCCTCTTTGGGGCCTCCTGGCGCCTCCTCAGTTTTTTGTTCGGGGCTGAGTGCTCGAAATGTCCATTCAGGTTCCCCCTCTGGGCCTCCTCTTGGGGCCGTCATGGGGCCTTCCTGGGCCGTTTTGGAGGCTTCTGGGGCCGATTCGTCTTGGAGCCATCTTGGGTGCCTTTTGGGCTATCTTGGGACGATCTTGAAGGCTTCTTGGGCCGTTATGGGCCTCGTGGAAGCCCAAGAGGCGAATGTGCTACAAATATACGTTTTACCTCGGGAGTGAGACGATTGTTGCTTCTTGAGGGCCTCTTGTGATGGCTCTTGGTGGCTTCTCGGGGCGTCTTGGGGGCCTCCGGGTCCGTCTGGAGACAATCTTGGGGGTTTTGGAGCGATCTTTCGGCGACTCGTAGCCTTCTTCTTGGACCGTCCCGGGTGCCTTTTGGGGCCCTTTTGGCATGTTTTGGGGCTCCCTGAGGCTCCGAGGGTGCGGCCGGCACTTTTGCTCCCCACCCCGCCACCCCATCTCCGATCCGGCCGGACCGGGCTCCCGGGGCAGGGGCTAGTGGTGGAGGGGGAGCCATCTCACACGCCGTGACCCCAAGGGGTCGGCGGACTGATCCTCACCCGGTGCTGTACTCGTCCTGGCTTCGTCTGAAATCGCGAGGTCGGCGAGGTGGACGTCGCGAAGATGGACGGGTGGCTGCAGCTGGCCAGAAAGCACGGCTTCGACCTGAGCCTGCCGGAGGGGCGGCAGCCGGAGGGCGCGGTCTTCCCCAACCCGCAGGAGGCGGCCACGTTGGTCCGCCTGGCGGACGAGGCGGTTTCTTCTCTGCTGGTTTTGAGTCGAGCCTGTCCCTGTGCAGGAGGAAGAATTAAAAAATTGTCAAAATAATTTTATGGGGACTATGTTTGGGATTATGTTTTGGAAATTGTGGTGGATTTCTTTGACTGTTAAGAATTTTGTCGTACAAATCCGCCTGAAAGGGGACAGGCCCGACCCAATGTTGTTTTTTGCTCGCGTATGCTATGTGACTGCTTCATTAGATGCTCGTTTTGGGGGACCTCTCTGGGGCCCACCTCTGGATCTGTTCGACTCTGGTTCGACCCCAGTTCGACTCAAGTTCGATTCAAGCTCGACTCAGGTTCGACTCAAGGTCGACTCGAATCATCGATGCAGCTTCGACGCACGAGCGGAGCGAGTGGCTCCAGGAAGGAAGGTCCCCAGAATGAGCAGCCAACTTAAGTCCCATCCCCGTCTGCCCCTTCCTCCATCCCCCTCCTTCGCCCCCCCCCATCCCTCCCCTCCCCTCACTCACTCACTCACTCACCCCATGGCGCACGCAGCGGTGTCCTGCACCTCCACGCGCGACCGCGGCCGCCGCGCGCGCGCCGCGCCGCGACCGCAGATCCTCTACGGCCCAGGGCTCCAAGGGGGCCCCCGCGGGACAGGCGAGGAGGCTCTGAGGACCTCTGGAGGGAAGAGGAGGCGGGGACCCAGAGCCCGAGGCACCCCTCCCCTCGCTCCTCCGCTCCCGCTCCTCCCTCGTGCGCCCGCCCGACCCCCCCTCCCCGACCCGGGTGCAAGCATTGGGTTGGGCCTGTCCCCCTCCAGGCGGATTCGGGCGAAAAAAATAAGAACACTCACCCCCCCCCCAAAAAAAAATGTCCCCATTTTGTTGTTTCACTGTGTTTGAAAATTCCTCCTGTAGAGGGACAGACCCGACTTGATGCGAGCGCAGGGAGGGACGGGTCGCGCCTCGGGAGGTGCCAGCGCGGGCCTCGGAGCCCCCGCGGGGGCGACGGGGGCACCCCACGGGCCACTCCTGGGCGTCGTCGACCCCGTCGTTCGAACTCCTCCTCCTCCTCCGCCTCCGCCTCCGCCTCCTCCGCCTCCTCCTCCTCCTCCTCCTCCTCCTCCTCCTCCTCCTCCTCTTCCTCCGCCTCCGCCTCTTCCTCCGCCTCCGCCTCTTCCTCCGCCTCCGCCTCCGCCTCCTCCGCCTCCGCCTCCGCCTCCTCCGCCTCCGCCTCCGCCTCCTCCTCCTCCTTCTCCTCTTCCGCCGCCTCCTCCTCCTCCCAGGTTTTCCGGACCCTTCCTGGAGGTCCTCGTCGCCACTGATCACGGTGGATTTGCGAAGAGTGAAGCGTGCATGACCGCGACTGCGACTCGGAGTGCAAGCGATCTGGGCGAAGATGACCTGCTTCGCGCGTGTCTGTTTCTCCATTTGCCCCTGCCCTCGCTCGCTCGTCGCTGCCCGAAGGGCGACGGCTCGAGGCCCGCGCCGATGGCTTCTCGGAGGGCTCAGCGGATCGCTTCCCAGCGGAGCTGGATCAGGAGTGGGGCGAAGGCGACGGCCCTCTTGGAAGTTGGGGGGGATCTCGGAAGAGATCGGGACACTCTTGGTGGGCTTGTCTTCCACCACCACCATAAGTAGGATGGGGAGGGGGTCCTCCCCTTCTTCTTCCTCCTCATCCTCTACACCCCCCCTTCCTCCCCGTGCCGCTGGGCCGCGCCTTCGGCGCGCTCGCCGCGTGGCCGATGCCGGGTTCGCTCTCGCCGAAGGCCGCCGGCCTGCGCCGCGCCGAGGAGGCGGCCCGCGGGGTCTCCTCGCGGCGCACGCGGCCGCGGGGCTGGCAGCAGGGCACGCCCACGATGGAGTGCGCCTGTTGCGCGCCGCGGAGGGCCTTCTGCGCGCGGCGGTGGCGGGTTTGCGGAACCCTGCCGCCCAGCCGCTTGCGCCCGTGCCTGGCGCTGCAGCGCGGCGGCGGCGGCGGCGAGGGCGCGGAGGCCGTGGCGGTGGTGCTGCGGGCCGCGGTGGTGCTGCGGCCGATGAAGATCGTGTTGGCGGCGGCGAGGCGGTTGGGGACCACGTGATGGAGGACGCCACGGGGGGCGGTCGCAGGCAGCGGCGGCGGCGCCGCCCGCAGCCTGCCCCTGTGGGCCTACCTCTGGTTGATGTCGCTGCTGGACCTGCTGCTGGTCAGGACGCTTTCGAGGATGAGCTGAACGATGAGTGGGCGGATGGCCTCACGGTGCTGCCTGGCCGCCGCGGCCGTGGACGCCCGCCCGCCCTCGCCCCCGACGTGCGGGCGCGACTCTGTCGAGGCCCCTTGGCGGGTCTCGAGGCGACCGTCGTCGCCGTCGGGGAGAGCTATGCCTCCGTCCGTTTCGTTGCGGACGACCCCGCCGCCGAGCCCATGGACGTTCGCCTGGACTTCCTGGAGGCACTGCCGCCGCATAGCGTTGCAGGGCCGCCGTCCCTCCCCACCTCTCCCCACACGGTGTTCGCCAGCAGCGATCGCCACTCCATTCTTAAACCTTGCCCTCTCCGCCATCGTGGCGTGAGGGCGCCTCGGCGTAGTCCGTCGGGAGACGCTCGAGAGGCGCTGCGCTCCATCCCCCCCCCTCCATCTTATGGTGGTGGTGGTGGTTGGTGGAAAACAGGCCCATCAATCCTTACAGGCGTCTGGGTAGGTTGGGGGCTTCTCAGAGGCGGGGCGCCTCCTCGGGAGGCCGTCCGACCGACCCCCCCCCCCCGTCCCTCGTGCACGCCGGCCACTGCCCCACTTCTGGAGGCATGATTCTTCGGAGGCCGGGCTCGGCCTCAAGCGAAGCACATATGCGTTTCCAGAGGGTACATATCGTTGTTCCGTTCCTTCCCCCCTCCTCCTCCTCCCCCTCCTCCTCCTCCTCCCCCTCCTCCTCCTCCTCCTCCTCCCCCTCCTCCTCCTCCTCCTCCTCCTCCTCCTCCTCCTCCTCCTCCTCCTCCTCCTCCTCCTCCTCCACTCCCCACCCCCACTGTTCAGGTGGCACTCCTGAAGCGGCCTGACGCCAAGATGGCGCTGTCCATGGACCCCGACGCCACCAAGCGGGCCGCCGCTGACCTGTTGAGGACTCGGCCTCCCGACCGAGAGTCTCCCGATGGGGCAGTCACTCAGGGCAGGCCAGGGTGTCACGACCAAACCGACCGCTGTGCACGTTTCAATTACCAGGGAGTTGGATACACATCACGTGGCTGGCCTGTGCGAGAGATGTATACGCAGATGTGTACGCCTATGTCTTTCGAGCAATCAGCCCTCGCGCGGCTGAGTACGCCAGCCCTCCGCCCTTTCGCAAGCGATTGTTGCCATAGTTGTTTCCAGGTTCCTGATCGGGTCAGGTTCGGGTTGGTGTGCCACAGGGCGTGACGGGGATCCCCGGGAGCTGCGCAGTGATCGTGAATCATCAGGTTGGCGCGCCAGCTCTGAGGCTTGCTCAGAGCACGGAGCGCGTCGACGACATTGGGTCGTTCTCTCTCTCTCTCTCTCTTTCTGTCTCTTTTTTTTTTTTTCTCTCTCTCTCTCTCTCTCTCTCGCTCTCTCCATCACTCTCGCTCTCTTTCTCCCTCTCTCTCTCTCTGCCTCTCTCTCTCTCTTTCCCTCTCTCTCTATCCCTCTTTCTCTCTCTCTCTCTCTCTCTCTTTCTCCCTCTCTCTCTGACTCTCTCTCTCTCTCGCCTTTTCGAGCTCGAACGCTGCACGTCGAAAGCTCTTGGCAGCGTGAGTCCAGCTGCAATCATCTGCGGACGCCCGAGCTCGTGCCGGAATCTTCATTCCTAACATTCGGTCGGTAGGAAGCGAAGGGAGGTCCCCCGCGATGGGGGACAAGCTCGCCTTGCCGCCACACTGCGCCAGGGGTCGGGGCGCTCTCGGCGGGCGGTGGCTGTCCGCCACGGGGTCCACTCGGTGTGTTGGGCGGGGTGCCCGCTCCCGCGGATTGATGCGAGTTTCGGCTTGGCATCGCTCGGACGTGTGCTTTTTTCTTGGCGAGACACATCGAGGACCATCCTGGACCATCGATAAAAAAACACGCACGAAACCGAAACATGCACGGGAAATGGACGTCCGAGCGACGGCAAGTCGGAGCCTCTTTGTTTGGCCTCAGTCTGAGAGCAACACTTTGACGCGTACGGTAGGCTCGTGCGGCGATGGCGCGCCGGCGACGCCGGCGAAGGCGTTCAAGGCTGAACTCCGCATGATAGAACGACGCGGACGCACTCAGGAGCACGGTGGCGCCCAGGACCCGATTGAATTCAATTTTGAACGCTCGGGGCCGCGACCGATTCAAGGTTGAACGATCGACGCGGTGTCCAAAACCTTTGCGCGCGCCGACGCCATACGAACCTACCGTACATTGCGCTGAAGCGTGGGCGTCGTTGCTCATGATGGCATGTGTTCGTGGCCCAGGCTGCCAAGAGGGTCAGCCAGAACTCCCGCCGGGCCAGCAGCACCACGTCTGTTCTCCGAACGCCCGCACTGCTCTCACTCAGAGCAAGGATGAGGAACGAGAAGGACCGCGGATTTTTTTGATTCGCGCTGGACCCCCCTCCCTGGCGCGCGGTGCGCACCAGGGGCGGCGCCGCAGGCGCCGCCGGGGGGGCCAGGCGCGGATCTAAGAAATTCGCGCGGAGCGCCAAGAGTTTATGTTGTATGTGTTTTTTGTTCTTCTTCTGGAACAGGGGTGAGGACGGCTCGAAGCCTTGAAGTCGCAGGCAGGGGCGAGAGTCGGGCCGGACGAAAGGGGGTGACAGGGAAATCCTTAAGGGGGGGTTCCGAAATCTGCTGCATGCAGCTGTGGTTTCAGCCCCACCGAAGGGCCCATTCCTCGACACATGGGCGCCTCCGGCGCCGGGAGGCGCCGGGAAAGTAAGCTACGTGAGCTGATTCTCCCCCCCCCCTTTGCCATCCCCCCCTTTCGCCCGGCCCGAGAGGGACGCCTCGAAGTCTTCGGCCAGCCACCCCAGGACGGAGGACGAGCCGCCGGCCAAGCGCCTGCGAGCGAGGCACGCGGAGCTGGCGGCCTCGCAGACGGCGCTGTCTGCCCCGGCGGCGTAGGCCCTGCTCCGCGGGGCCCTCCTCGGGGGCAACGACAGGGGGGGGGGGATCGGGGGGAGAGTCGGCATGGGTTCCCGGTCGTTTTCGACCCGAGGCTCCAGGTTTTCGGTCGTTCTCGTGCGTTCGCGGCGGCTTTCCGGCCTCGGGATGCGTCCCAGCAGCTGCGCCTCGTCGAGGGCGTGCCGGGGGTGCTGGCATCGTCCCAAACGGCCGCCGGAGGCCCGAGTTCTGGCCCGAAGGCCATGCGGGGATGTAGGCATACGGGTGGGCTGCCTCGACCCGCAATCGCCCAGTGGTCGCCGCCAGGGGGCCCGATAGCCCCAGCCTGGCCAGGGAGGCGCGGACGTACTGTCGGAGGCCTATCGCCGATCTCTCGGCGCATCGGCGGTGTATCGCCGATCCCAGGTCGATGCATCCCCCCCCCCTTTCGGGGGAGCGTAAGACCTGGGTTTGCCAGGACTCGGGTTCGCCATCGTTTTTTGACGACCGCGCCTCGGATTTTGACGAGGAGGAGTTCCGTGGGATGTCTGCAGCGGGAGGCCTCGTCAAAATGCATGCTCGACCTCGTCATTTTTGTTGACGATCTCGTCGGGGATTTCCGAGTCCCCTGTACCCAGGTCTTACGTCCCCCTGACCCTTCTGCCAACCCCCCCCCCCTCTCGTTGCCCCTCGCCTCCTGATGTTGAGGGCGGCTTATCGTGAGTGTGCAGCTCGGCCGGCGGCGCCCACAAGGGGGAGGCCAGGGCATCGTTTCGATCCCTCCGCTCCGATGCGAGTCGACATCGGTGGCTTCCGATTCCGATTCGATCCGATCTGGGAGTCCGATGTGGGCTCCGATGCCTCACTGGAGGCATTACTGGCCTGGCCGATCTCCGCCGATACGACTCCTCCCGACTCGGCGGCCGACCTCCGCCTCTCCGGTTCCCCTCGATCGCCGAGCTCCGGCTTGTCGATGCGCTTCTGGGCCCTCCCGGGCGGCGCGACGGGGGTGGGCGACCTCCCAAGGCCGGACGGGGGGGGGGCCCTTTGCAGGCGGGCGCCCTCTTCTCTGGGGCCGGGCGGTGGCCACCGCGCCCCCCCTGCCCGCGCCCACCCTGTGCCGACCCAGCTCGTCTGCGGGTTGGGAGGAGGAAAAGGAGGAGGCGGAGGCGGAGGAGGAGGAGGAGGAGGAGGCGGAGGCGGAGGAGGCGGAGGAGGCGGAGGAGGCGGAGGAGGCGGAGGAAGCGGAGGAGACGAGGAAGAAGAAGGAGGAGGCACAGGCAGCGTGCCCCCAGGTGGATGCCATTGCTGTGCACGGCCCCCGCTCCGCGGTCCTGTGCTGGACCAGCTTGCTGGTAGGGGTCGCGCACGACAACGGCGCCCCCGTCTCAGAAGATCCTGGCGGCTTTGAGAAGGCGTCCTGGAAACCGGGAGGCCTGCTAAGAAGCCCCCTGCTTTCTGAAAGAAGTTCCCCCGCCTTCTCAGAAGGTCCCGCCCCAGCACCGCCTCTCTGTGGGCGCCGTCGCTTCGGTGGAGGCCTGGGCGTGCCCCAGGACGGCCGCCTATTCCAAAGAGGGGTCCCTCGGGGCCCGCCCCAGGACGCCCATCGGGGGCAACGTTAGGGGGGTGGAGAGGCTCAGGGGAGATGCTTCGACTCCCCCTCTTGTGGATCGCCGATTGGAGGGTTTCTCCGAAGGGCTTAGGGGACCCGTCTCGTCCTCCTCCTCCTCCTCCTCCTCCTCCTCCTCCTCCTCCTCCTCCTCCTCCTCCTCCTCCTCCTCCTCCTCCTCTCCTCCTCCCTCCTCCTCCTCCTCCTCCTCCTCCTCCTCCTCTTCCCTCCTCCTCCTCCTCTCCTTGTCCTCCTCATCTCCTCCTCCTCCTCCTCCTCGTCCTCGTCCTCCTCCCCCTCCTCCCCCTCCTCCCCCTCCCCCTCCCCCTCCCCTTCCTCCCCCCCCTCCCCCTCCTCCTCCTCCTCCTCCTCCTCCTCCTCCTCCTCTCCTCCTCCTCCTCCTCCTCCTCCTCCTCCTCGCCACCCCCTCGGGTCGCCAACGGCCCCAGGGGAAACTGTCCACTCAGGAGGGATGCTGCGACTCCCCCTCGCCCGTTCACCGCCGACTGGGGGGCCCGACAGCATCAGCCTGCCCAGGAGCGAGCGGGCTCGTTTTCGGGGCCCTGTCGCCGATCTATCGGCGACGTATCGCCGACTCCGAGTCGATGCCTCCTCCCTGAGCTGGCCCTTCCCCTTCTACAGTGGGGGCTCATGCCAAGAAACCTCCAGGGTGTCCTGAATTTCTTGGGTGTCGATGGTTTTGCCATGGAGAGCGCGACGTTCCCACACCAAACATGAAGGGGCGTCCTGGGGTCTCAGGGTTTTGTTTCTTGTAGAGGGCTTCCTGTGGTCGGGCCCCTACGGTAGGTCTCCCATGGGGCGACGTTGGGGCCTACCCAGACCGTGGAAGACGCTCGGAAGCAGGCTTTTGGCGCCGCCGCACGGGAAGGCGACAGTCGGGAGCGCAGGCTCCAAATTTTCCGCGCGGGCTTTTGACAGATGCTCTGCATGCACCACTCTTGATGGGCTCATTGTCCACCACCACTACCATTGGTAGGGCCGGGGAGAAGGGATCATGGGGAGGTCCTCCTTCTCCTCCTCGTCCTCCTCCTCCTGCTCACCCTCCTCCTCCTCCTCCTCCTCCTCCTCCTCCTCGTCCTCCTCCTTCTCCTCCTCGTCGTCCTCGTCCTCCTTCTCCTCCTCTCCTCCGCCAGGCGCCAGGGCAGCTTAGACATCGCAGGGATGGCGAGATTCGGCCCCCCCTCCTCCTCCTCCTCCTCCTCCTCCTCCTCCTCCTCCTCCTCCTCCTCCTCCTCCTCCTCCTCCTCCTCCTCCTCCTCCTCCTCCTCCTCCTCCTCCTCCTCCTCCTCCTCCTCCCTCCTCCTCCTCCTCCTCCTCCTCCTCCCTCCTCCTCCTCCTCCTCCCTCCTCCTCCTCCTCCTCCTCCTCCTCCTCCTCCTCCTCCTCCTCCTCCTCCTCCTCCTCCTCCTCCTCCTCCTCCCCTCCCTCCTACCTACTGTAGTGGTGATGGAACATCTGCCCATCAACTCTGCTGCTAGTGCCGTCCGCTTGCCGGCATGGCAACTTCCCGCACAGCCGCGAGGCTTGCGACGGGCGGCGGCGCAGCTGGTCTGCTGATGAGAGCCCACCGCCTGCGACGATTCTCCTGCACGCGGGGAGGGGAGGGGGCAGAGGGGTGGGGGATCATGATGTTCCAACCTACTGTAGCCTTGATCACCAGAAAGAATTTCGAGCACCACGAAAAGTACCGACATTGGAGGGCTTTCACGTGTCTGGCCCTGGGAGGCGATACTCGTTCGAAATTGTTCGGTATTTTTCTGGGTGCTCGAAAGTATGTCTGTGATGTGGCCCTTAAGTACGATGGGAGCAACGCAAGTGGGGGAAAGGATACGGTAGGTTCGTGTCGTGTCGACCGGCGTCGACCCCGCCAGCGGCGTTCAACGTTGAACGCCGCGGGCGACCCAGAATCGTTCGGTGTGGAACGATTTGGGCGTTTCGGAAACGGCCGATCGTTCAATCGGGGGAGCGTAAGACCCGGGTTTGACGACCGCGCCTCGGATTTTGACGAGGAGGAGTTTCGTGGGATGTCTGCAGCGGGAGGCCTCGTCAAAATGCAGGCTCGGCCTCGTCATTTTTTTGACGACCTCGTCGGGGATTTCCGAGTCCCCCGTACCCGGGTCTTACGTCTCCCCGATTCAAGGTTGAACGATCCCCGCGGTGTCAGGAACCAAGGCCAGGGTCGACACGATGCGAGCCTGTCGTAGGGGAGCAAGCAACAACGTACGCATAGCAACTCGGATGTCCGCGCGGGTTTCTCGAATCGGCGTTGGGCACGCCTACTTGGCTCCCGGAGCGCGCCAGGGGCGGCGCCAGAGTCGCCGCCAGGGGGCCCCGGCGCCGATTGACGGAATTCGCGCGGACCTCCGAATTGTTATGTTTCTGTCATTGTTTGTTCCGCGAAAGGAGGGGGAGTGATGGGACGGTCCTTCGCGAAAGGAGGGGGAGTGATGGGAAGGTCCTTAACAACAACGAGACAAAGGTGGAACGGAGAACGAGAGGCGGAAGGGGCACAGGAGGGGCAGGTCGTAGGTCTCAGGTCTGCGAGCGATGTATCCACATTGTTTATCGTAACATAGAAGAGCCACTCACATCGTATCACACGTATGGAGATCGTCCAGAGAGAAGGCCCGTGGGAACATCGGGGCACTCGCAGGGGCTTGGCCATCGGCTGCAGGAAGGGGCGGGGATGGGGAACGCGAAGGGGAAAAGGAGGGGAGGGCAAGCCGGGGGGGGGGGGGCGAGCAGGGGGGGGGGAAGGGAAAGGGGAGGGAAGCGGCGTGGAAGGGGGGGAGATGGGGAACGTATTTTCCTAGCAGAAGCTCGGAGCGCTCATGGCCTTCCCACATCCCCTCCCCCCGGGGGCGTGCGCGCGCGGCAGCCGCGCGAGCCCTCGCGCAGAACAGAAATTCATGCTGGGGCGATGGCCCGCCATGCCCCCGCGGAGCAGCCAGGCGCCAGGGCAGCTCAGACATCGCAGGGATGGCGAGAGTCGGCCCCCCTCTTCCTCCTCGTCCTACTCCTCCCCCCCCCTCCCCATCCTCTTTCTCCTCTTCCTCCTCCCCCCCCTCCTCCTCCTCCTCCTCGTGACACTCCTCCCCTCCCCCTCCCCCCTCCTCCTCCTCCTCCTCCTCCTCCTCCTCCTCCTCCTCCTCCTCCTCCTCGTCCTACTCCTCCCCCTCCCCCCCCCTCCTCCTCCTCCTCCCTCCTCCTCATCCCTCCTCCCCCTGCTCCTCCTCCTCCTCCTCGTGACCTCCTCCCCCTCCCCTCCCCCTCCCCTCCTCCTCCTCCTCCTCCTCCTCCTCCTCCTCCTCCTCCTCCCTCCTCCTCCTCGTCCCCTCCTCCTCCCCCTCCCCCTCCCCCTCCTCCTCCTCCTCCCTCCTCCCTCC